TTCCCTCTCCCTGTCTCCCTCCATCTGAGGGGCAGCCACCTGTCTTTAAAGAACTCAGTATTGAATTTGCTGGACCTCTACTGTTGTTTCACTAGTATCATCTCTGCTTATTACCTATTACCACGTGCATAATTTGTAATTGAGTATGTGAAAAGAATAAGATGAATTATCGTAAGCATTTTGAAGTTGGCCTACCACATTTCTCTAATTATAAAAGTAACTAGTGGCTAAGAGTGTTCCTTTGTATTTAAAGTAAACCAGTAATCTAAATGTATTTCTGGAATGTTCAGGTGAGATAGGTTTTTCTTTGCTATAAAGTTGCAATGACATTCACCATATAGTAGGTGATAGCTCCCTGAAACCTAGATTAAAAAGCAGTGTAAAGTAAATAAATTAACAAGGTTGGCTTCTCTCCAAGGTGTTTGAAAATGCAGTATTTATATTTTTGGAACATTGAATTTTATCTTGGCTCTATGGTTTCTACATTCCTTACGGTTATTGATAACAGTTTTTTTTAAGATACTCCTCCTTTTGCACGTATGTAATGAAAGGAAAGAAAACAGTCCTTATTCCTGTGTGTTTGAGTCCCTGAGGGTCCAGAAGAAAAAAATAACTAATTCTTGTGGTGCCAAATGTTGTTTGAAGGATCGTTCAGCTTGTATGAATCAGTGAGCCTTTTCCTGCATCAGGAGTTAGTTCTGGTATATGTTTTCCATATGGGGTGCAGCTGTGCTTTTTTCCTCTTGTAGAAGCCTGCAACTGCATGAAAGCAATGCGTTTGGAATTACAGCATAGGCAGAACTTTATTGTAGGTAGGATGACATTGTTTCCTGAACGGTGGTTGCCTAAGCTTTAGCGTGGTTAGAAATGTCATTAAATTGTGACTTGATAAAGAATGAGATAAAACCATGACCTACACTGAGCACAAGTACGTAGCAATTGGTTGATTATTGTAAGCAGCATAAATGGTTATTTCAAGTATCCAAAGAGAAATCTTTGCTACCTTCCTGGTTACGATGATGTATTCTTTACATCCTTACACATGGTAGAAGGGATTTTGCACAGCAGGTTTAAGTCTTGGAGTTCTACTCTGGAAACTGTTGTGGGCCGGTGATCACAGCTGAGGATATCAAAGGCCCAGATTTCATTTTCTTCTTAGTCTCATGAATTGGATCTCACATTTCCCACCTTCTAGACTATTAGACTGGGAGTGTTCTAGCGATGCTCTGCCATCCATGTTGGGGAGGTACTGCTGAGCTGAAGGAACTGTCAGTCCAGGTCAGGCTTCAGCACTGAGCCACACAATGTTGACAAAGCTGTGATGCTTCTGGATGTAAAGGCTAGAAATATAGCTGCATAAAGGGCTTGAAAGATAAAAACACAGCAGCGCACATTTTTGAGGTACACCAAATACATTTTTAGCATACACAAGAGCTGGACAATAAATTTGAGACTTGTGATTGGGACTTGTATATCTAAATTACTCTGTGATTCGGGAATTTACTAAGTATTCTCTTGATTAATATTTTTAGTGAAATGATTAAAGTCTGTTCTAATTTTAAGTAATACTAACTTTCTCTTTCAATCAGGATCCAGCAGAGAAGAAATAACAGAACACTGGGACTGGTTAGAACACAATGTTATGAAGACTTTATCAGTATTTGATTCAAATGAAGATATTACGAGCTTTGTCCAGGGAAAGATAAGAGTAAGTAACAGGCATGTGACATAATTGGGGAAGGCTAAGTATTTTTTAGCTCTAAACGTACACGAATAACATGTCCTCTTTAGAATATCAAAGGACAGCATCGTAATGCTACATACTTCTGATTGAGTAGTATGTGGCTGTTAACTTCAACACACTCCATTGTTCCTGTTTATCTGCCCCACAGTTTAAGTAAGGTTGTTTGACATAAACTCTTCTTGGTAAATGATACACCGATGCCTTTAGACAGTGGTCTAAAACTGTTGATAAATTATTTCACAACAATTTTAATAATGCCTGGGAAGTACATGGTATATTTTTGTGGAGGTGCAACAGTTCACTTTATGTATACTAAATATTTAGCCCAGGAATTCTTGTGATTAAGTGAGGAAAATATATCTATTTCAGAAGAGGAGACCTGGGAATGTGTGTCTTGCCTAAGTTGTGTGGAAAACTTGGTGGATGAGTCTGAAATAGCACATTTGATTTGTGACCTGTGTTTTGATCCTCAGACTATTCTTCCTGTTCTAAAACTTACTGTCCTGCTAGGAGAATGCTATGCTGTATGGATGCAGGTGCATATATGACACCCACCCACATGGATGCGTATATAAATTAACTGGTTCTTTTGTTTTAGGGTTTGATTGCTGAAGAGGGAAAAGGTTCGTTTGTAAAAGAAGACGATCCTGAGAAGTTTCGTGAAGGTCTTATGAAGTTTGAAAAGTGTTTTGGATTACCAGAGCAGGAGAAGTTGGTTACCTATTACTCATGCAGTTATTGGAAGGGCAGAGTGCCCTGTCAAGGGTGGCTTTATCTTAGTACCAACTTCCTTAGCTTTTACTCATTTTTGCTGGGAGCAGAAAGTAAGTAAGCCTTGATACTAAGCCTAGTCCCTTCACATTTTACTGTTTATCTCTCAGATTTGGGAGAATTCTTCCTATGTCCTAAGGGGGCTCTTTTGCCATGTGAGCAGATGTCAACACAGAATAGAAAAAACTGCAAATGTAAAATACTTTATGGAAATGAATACATTTGGGTAACTTACTACACAATGTCCATTAGTTTTCTTCCTCTACATAAGCTTGTAGAAGGCAGAGAGAAGGCAGACCTGTTGCAGTTGACTCTAACTAAAAGTTGTCCATCATCTTTAGTTCATGCTGCATATTAATTCAATCTGTGAGGATTACAGTTATTTCTTCACACACAGACTTAATATTTCACATGGGTGCACTATGCACTGGTGATAATTGCACATATCTTTTTTTTCCTGTGTAACATTAGTTTGAAATGCCCAAACAAGTGCCTCTAATAGTGTGAGTTATGACTGTATTTATGTGAAAACTAGAAAGCATAAAGAAAGTAGGCTCCCTTCTAAGCTAATTTTCATTTGTATTGGGAAATGTCATAGCTAATGGGCATGGTTCCTCTAAATGCCAATACATGATTGATTTACTTTAAGAAGCCCTATTGGTAAACTGTTAAAGTGGGATAGCTTATATGATGGTGTTTGTTTCCAATTTGCAGTTTCACATGAGAGCGAAGAAAAGGTGGTGTAAGCTTGTATTTTCATACATGGTGTGTCTTTAATGTTTTTCTTTCTATAAAATTCTTTCTAATGGAATTATTTTATAGGAATTGTGAGGATAGTGGTTTTTGTGCTTGTGAGTTTGTAGCCCTTTCCAAGTGTGTTATCATTTAACTATATTGCTTAATTATATTTTATCAGTACTGTTGACTACTACTTTTCTTTTTTTAATACAAGGGCAGCAGCTAATGAGAAGTTGCTCACATCTGCTTATATTTGTATTTTCAGTAAAACTTATTATCTCCTGGGATGAAATATCAAAACTTGAGAAGACTTCCAATGTGATTCTGACAGAGAGCATTCATGTGTGCTCCCGTGGGGAAGATCACTATTTTTCCATGTTTTTGCACATTAGTGAAACATTCCTTCTCATGGAACAGCTGGCAAACTATGCTGTTAGGAGACTTTTTGACAAGGAGACATTTGAAAATGACCTAGTCCTTCATGACCCTCTGCAGATCACCAAGAGGTAATATATTACTTAGAGTCTATCTGCTCTGGGCCCAGAACTTTTTTAGGCAAAGGAGAAGAGAATCCTTGTCTCAAGGAGATATGTAAATGTCAGCAGAGCTGGTGTTCTCTTAAACAAGTGTCTCATTAAAATTTGGGATCAAAGCAATGTGAGGCATTGTAATTTGTTACTTTGCAGTATCAAAAGTCTATATGAAGGCAGGAAGTGATCAAACCCTCAGAGCTGGTTTTCAACCATTGGGTTTATAGTAGTTTGAATTTTTAAAAGGCATTCTAACAGCTGCATTTAGGATTAGAAAATTAAGAATGAAGCCGCAGTGTCTGCAAAGAGACCTGATGATGAGGAAGGATAAGGTGGAGAAGAAATCATTTAATAAACATGTGTAAATAATAACTGTGTGACTTTTCTGCCACTGGAGATGGCTGATAAAATCAATGAGTTGCAGATGTGTGCATGGCTTTCCTTACTTACTACAGTATTTTAGGCAGTGGGAAAGATGTAAGTAACCTGATGGTTAGGGTCCTTCCTTCTCAAGGAAGGTGTGTGATTATTCCTTGTAGTAATTTTATGATTTCTTTTCAGTTCTGGTTTCTGTTGAAGCAAATGTTGCCTTTTCCTCAGAGACCTGTCCAAATTCTCACTCAAATGTTCAGATTTTGATCTGTGGACCACAGCTATTTACTGTGAAAAGTAACCAGGAAAAGCAAGTCTGTTGTTAGGTAATTTAAATTCACATAAACGGACTAAATCTTTGTTAGATAATGTCACCTATCTGCAAATCAGAAATTATGATAAAGCATTTTTCTGATAATTGTTCCTACTTAAAGCTCCATGCACCTGTGATTTAAGAAAAAAAAAAGCTATTTAGTTTTTTAGTACACTGATAATGAAACCTGTTTTAGGTTGTGTTTCCTGGGTAATTGATACCTCAGTTTGGTAGCAATGCTGGAAAAGGATGTTGCTCTACAACCAAAACATTGTTTCTGGCTGCAGTTACCTGTGAAGAATTAGCCCATGGCAGATGTCTACAATATGTGCTACATTTCTAGCTAATTAACCCTCTGTCAAGTCAAAACTTGTTTTAGGTTTAAATGGACTATTCTGATGGGTGGGGAAACACAGCAGATTAGGCTATTAGTACATTTTTCTGCACTACCTGTAGGCCCTGATTCAGCAGAGTGCTTTACTGTGTAAGAACGTGCTTGAATCTATTCCTGTTTAGTGAAGTATTTAAGTATTTTGTTAAGCGGGTGTATATAGATAGGTGTGGTCCTGCTCTTTGTTGCCTCCTCAAGCAAAACATTGAACCCTCCAGATTGACCCCATGGATTATGGGAGAGCATGATGTTTTACTGTCTTTTCCCAAGGTATTTTTGACTTTTGTATTTGTAAAGACATTTTAAACTTATTTAATTTTTCTTTTCTCTCTCCTACCCTGTTTTTGTTTTGTTTTTAATCTAGAGGCCTAGAGAGCCGTGCCCACAGTGAGCAGTTTAGTGCATTCTTCAGGCTACCCAAAGAAGAGACCATGAAGGAAGTTCATGAGTGCTTCTTATGGGTTCCTTTCAGTCATTACAACACCCATGGGAAAATGTGCATTTCAGAAAACTACATCTGCTTTGCTAGCCAAGATGGCAGCCTGTGCAGTGTAATCATTCCATTAAGAGAGGTAATGCAAACTACAAGTCAGAGCCAGTTATACCAGAAGTTTTGCACTTGTGTAGTTTAATGCCAGTTTAGCAGATTTTAATTGGAATCTGCTTACTTTACATGATGTCATACATTTCCCCCTACCTTGGGTACTGCATGTAGGAATTCTGTTTGTAGGTTTCTAGAACTGCTTTCATGATTCAGCTCTATTCCCTGTATCCTCTTTACTTTTCTATTTACTCTGATTTCTGTAGCTGGGTACAGAATCCAAATTTTTTAATACTTTTTTTTTTTAAATGAAAAAGCTTATGCTTAATTCTTAAAGTTGAGTTAATGAGAGATTCTCAAGATAAAAAGTAAAGAATTGGAGAGGGTGGAGGATCTTGAAGAATAGTAATCGCTCTGCTGTGTTTCTTAGCTCAGTAGCGCGATTCTTTTTGCAGCAGTTGAGCAGTGCTGTCTGTTCAAAAGTCTGTAGGAAAATCCATTGACAGTTGTCGGTGAACAACTATCAATGCCATTACAGCTGATAGTCTCAACAGACTGAATAAGGACCATATTGTAAAGGACATAGCATTCATATTTCTATAGAGTACTATAGCTAGACTGTGGAATAACTTCTAGAAAAAAAAAACCCTTCTCCATCCCTCTCTTGACTTCATGGGGTCTGGGACATTGCCACATTTCAGTCTTCCAGTGTTAAAAGCTTTTCATCAGCACCCAGACATATGTTACAATAGCCTAAAAAATTAACCAGGTTCTGTGATTGCTCTACATACTCTGGTGTACGTACTGCCTGACATAAGGCACCTGACGTAGGGGGGTGAGCTGAGCTAATTTCAGCCATACACTTGGTGTTCCCCACCCAGGTAAAGCAATTTATTTGATCGTCTATAAATAGTCCTGCAAATGATAGAGAATTCCATAACCTGTGAAAAACAAGAAGAGGCTGTGTTAGAGGAGCTGACTCTAGATTTATTCTTGTGGATTGTCAGGCCCTCACTGTTTGTTCTACAGCAATGCAGAGTCACTTTATTTCAGTGGTCTTTCATTCTTTACCTATAACAATTTACAAGCATCAGCAATGGCAGTCAGTCTAGCTACTCATAATTGTCTCACTTGTACTTGCATTATTAAAGTGTATTAACTGCTCTAATCTGTAACTGTTCTATCATGGCAATTATAATCAGCTCCAGCTGTCATGTGTTATCACAGCTGTCTTTGAAAGGGTATTCTCAGTGGAAATTCATTCTTGTGAAACTTGTTTCATTTAATTACTTGCAAAAGCCATGTTTTGTCTGCTTTCGGAGGGTAGGAAGAAAAGTAACAGCTTCAGCAGGTAGAAGGAGGCAAAATTTTCGAATAAGCTTAGCACTCACAGCGGGGAAAATCTTTTCAAAGATTTTTGGTACTCTGTTGAAAATTTATTGCATAATAGCTCCAGACCACTGAGCTTAAAAGTAGTGAGTTTGCTATTTGTGTTACTAATTCTGCTTGTGGGGTGCTTCATACTACTGTGTCATGTACACGTGTATTTTTAATAGGTTTTCTCTTTTAGAAGTAAGCTGGTAAAATTTCTTGCCTAATTTATGTGTCTTTGCTTCCATAGGTCACAGGGGTGGATAAGGCAGATCCAGCCAACAGAGGAGTCAGCATTAGTACCAAAGGAAAAACAGCTTTTCGTTTCACGGAGGTTAGAGATTTCGAACAGCTTGTGGCAAAGCTCAGAATGAAATGCAATGCAACTTCAAGTCCACAACACATCATAAATACAGAGGTAGCTGCTCTGCTAATTCTAATTTCTTAGTACCTGTTCCTAGGAATAAGGTTGTGTAGTCTTACTAAGAGTTTATGTATTGTTGTCAATGTTTTGCTGTGTAATGCAACACATTTATATTTAAGCCTGAACCTAGACACAAGTTGGGTAACAATGTCTGTTCTACCTCTAGATTTCAAGTAAATCTTTTTTTTTCCCTCTTTAAAAAATCATGTTCCCATCTCTTGCCTTAAGACCCTTCACATTAAATCAAAAGTCCACCAGTCTGATGTAAAATTATGTGTAGCTGTGTTGGTTTTTGCCAGCTGACTATTTGACTCAGGAAGTGGATGGAATGATTGTAAGGTTGTTTCTAGATGTGAAGAAATCTGTATGTGTAGTTTCATGCATGAGAAATAAGAAAGCAATGACAAAACATCCTTAACAAGCATTACTTATTATAGTTGCTGTACCTCTTCCCTGAAGATTTTCCCCTGGAAAAAAATTAAATAGATTCAGCTGGAGCAGGCTCTAAAGTGAGTTGTAAGAGTGGAGAAGCATACAAATAAATACCCTTTGGTAGAAAATGATCAGTATATCAGCAAAATCTCTAGTTTGAGATTTTGATTCTTAAGGGTTAAAAGGCAGAAATGAGTAATAAAAGCAAGATAGTTTGATATCAGCAGAAATGCTCAGCTGATAAGAGTACAGTACAGCCTTGGGAGACCTGAGTGGTAAGATCTGCTGATCAAGGGCATTCCCTTTTAGATTACCTTATTTCAGGTTGTATCTGCATTATATTGACATACCATGCTAAGTCATGTACCTCCAGTTTTAAGGTGTGGAAAAATAAATAATATGTGCCCATATGAAAGAGAATGTGTTAAACAATGGTGCCACTGTGAATGCATTCTGTTTTGGGTTCTTTTACTTTATTTTCCATCAGGTTTTGAAAAACAATCCAGGTTCTAATGCGGGTTTTTAAATGCTCTCAGCATTTCTGTATAGTTCAGTATATGGCTCCATTTAATTTAATGTTTTTATTTTTACTTCAGTGGTGATGGATGGTCAGGCCTCCCTACCTATTACAGTTCACATTATGAATATTTGTCCTTTCATAATTAAGTTTTTGGCTGTAGAGATGGATTTTTTTCCAAGTCCAGCGTCCTGAAAGCCCAGCTGTGCGGAGCAGGGGTTGCTGTTTTTCATTTATTTTGGAAGTCTGTATCTGGTACCTGTAACTTAATATCATAAACAATGATGGTTTAGAAGCAAAACGGTTTCTGGTATCAGTGCTGCTTCTTGAAGGATTGTTTGGCATTTATAACTACCACTGCTCAATTTTTTTTCAAGGTTGCAGCTAGTTCTGCCTCTGACAGTCCCAAGGATTTTGATGCAGGACCGTCAAAGATGGGTCAGAGAGATAATAGCAAAACTGTCAGTACAGAAGCCCTAATGACTGTCTACCATCCTCAAGATGCTGAGAATCTAGACTCTAAAATGGTAAGGGATAAAATGGCCAACAGTTTTTGGAATCTAATTGGAAAGGACTGAAGTATATTCAAAATGTATTCCAGCAAGGCTGCTGATTTCCTCTGGGGCTTTGCCAATTTTCTTTCATCTGCATTTTCTGTATTTGGAGTCCACAGGGTGCTTCTTCATGGCTCCATTCAATTTTCTGCTCATCTTGTTTAATAATGATATGCTTTATCTTCATGGAGATAATTCCTTCTGCTCTTCCACCCCTCAGGGAAGAGTTGGCTGTTTGTTTTATGATAGTGAACATGTTTCGTTTCTATCTGAATTGTCAAGATACAAAGTCACTACAAATGCTTTGGGAGCAAGGAGAATGTTATCAAGAAATTGACTTAATTTCTTCCTTGCTTCATTCTTTTGCAGTTCTGTCTAACAAAGTTATGCTCTGGAGAATGTTTCTTCAATTGTTTTTGCAGTAGGACATCCTATTTTTGCTTCTCCATAGTGGGTACAAGAAGACAAAAAGGTTTTATTTTAAAATTAAGTCTTTCAGCAGAACTGGGTAAATTAAGATACGGAATTTTTGATATTAGAAATATCAGAAAATAAACACCCTTTGGGCAGGAGAAAAGGCAATCCAGATTTTTAAGTTCTGCTTTTTATAGTATGTTGAACAAAAGTGGACAAAATCTACTTTTCCTTTCAGCACCTTTAATTGCTTTAACAATGTTAAATTTTACTGCTGCATGCGCAGAAAATGTAGTGGCAATGTTCACCCTGTCTCAGCCCTGGAGCCTCGCATGAGTTGGAGCACCTGATCACCAGTTGCTTTGCTTCAGAGAAATTTAATTGCTTTTTAGGTGCATAATCAATAGTTTATTAGTGATCTTGTACTTTACAAAGTATCTATTTCACTGTTTCTACTATCTCTACCTCCTTCTACTCTGCGGGTAAAATGCCTGTAACTTCAGTTTTGTCTGAATAGGGAATTTTTGCCAGTTTTCATTTTGTGAAGCGGGTTTAACTTACATGGCTGGTCCTACTGAAGTTCAGATGCATACACTGTTATCTTCTATGTTGACAGAAATTGCTAGTGTGTAAAAACGTTCTATCTGGTTGATAAATATTTGATTAAACGTAAAACCTGTATGGGCATAAGTGTTTTCAGCTGTTAGTTCCCCTCCTTAATCCAACTAGACTTCATTCTCCTGCAAATTTTCCTGATTGTTGATTCTCTCCTAGTGCTATTTGGAGCTCATGTAAATAAACTGAGGAAAGACTGAGAAACTGTGGGAGTATAAGGACACTGATGTCATGCCATCTCTCTGTGTGCTTTCCACCATTTGTAGCCATTCTGTTCCAAATCTGTCAACTAATGTAATGCAACAAAGCATAATGAACCAAAAAAAGGAAGCAACCTGTTTGCCTGTTGAGTTTCTGTGGGATATTATTCCATCTGTAGCAGAGTTAGTACATTTTTATTGTGGTTAGCAAAGAACAGTTCATAGACATGTTGAAATCAAAATATGTTAATTTATCAGAGTAATTAAGCAGGTGTCTGTGACAGTGAGTTGACTTTGCAAAGAATCACTTGCTTGATTTCATTGCGCTATCATGGCCAAATACTTTTTCTCATAGTTTGTTTGCTAGAGCTCTCAAATTAGCACAGAGAAACCTGCCACCACATGTAAGCAATCTGAACCTTCTATTTTTCCCTGTTGTCTTTTCTACTGCTTCATTCAATTTCATCTTCTTTCCTTCTATTGATTTACCCTTTACCAAGAAAATGTTACTCTCTTTATCACAAAGCAGCAACAAAAAATGGGATATTTTAAAATTGGCCCAAGTAACAGTAAGCAGATTTGTTTGTATGTATGTATTGTACAAACATATATATGTATATTTATATGGAAATAGCTGAAAAAGAATCTTACAAGAGGAAGTTTTAATGTACCTCTGATTTTTTGCCATGGGAATTATATAAAATGGTGAATTTTCTTATCCATTATGCTGGCAATGCATTTTTGGAATGCCTCAGGAGAACTGTGATGGCAGAATTTGTCTGCACAGTTGCACCTTGCACTGGTTAGCTGTCTTACTGCTTTATCACTGTTCATTGACTCCCTTTAAGTCCCTAGTACTTCGTGGTCCTTTGATAATAATGTAGGTTTTGCTGATGTGGTGTCAAAGTTGCAAATGGTTCAATCTAGAGGTAACAAATAGGGCTGTCTAGCTATTGATTTTTTTTAAAAAAGATAAGTTTAGCAGAATAGCGAACAATAAAACATAACAAATAGATGGTGATGACTTAATTTAAAATGAAAATCCAGCTTGCATACAGTTATTGCTGTTTACGGGTTGGAATCATTCTCAAGTGGAAAGTGAGGAAAAAATTGAACTTAGGAGTGGCTTGAAAAAGGTGAAAGGGAGTGATTGTTTGCTGTCTTAATACAACAAGGGTGCTTCAAGTGAAGTTAGAAGGCGGCAGGTCTGTCTGTCTGTTGCCTCTGCTGAGGATGTGCCTGTGCTTCTATTTGCTGGGGAATGGAGGAGGATTTTGCAGATGTTTGCTTGACCTTACTGTCCTGTGGCACTTGCTGTTGGTTTCTGTCAGATGGGATACTGGATTAGATTTACCTTTTGTCTGATCTGGTATAGACATTCTTGTAATAACATACTTTAAAGAATAGTAGGTCATGTAGGAGATGGCATTGTATGCCAACTTTATACTACGCACAGGTTAGATTTTGCTCTGATTTGCATCAGCATTCATTTAACATATCAATATGGATGCCAATGCTGTCATTTCCAGTTTATATGAATATATCTGAGAGCAAAATTTGGTTCTGTTCTCTGAAACTTGAGGAAAAATCTTCCAGTATACTTAGTGCTTGTCGTCTTCTGCTTTTCCTAGTTGAAAGAAAAAATGAAAGAACAGTCCTGGAACATCCTCTTTGTCGAACGGGGACATGGTGTCAGTATGTTTCGAACAAAGAAGACTCGAGACCTAGTTGTAAGAGGAATCCCGGAGGCATTAAGAGGAGAGCTCTGGCTGCTCTTCTCAGGTATTGCATAGCAAGTATAATTGATTCATTTTGTGGACTCTACTGTATGGATGTTGTAGTTACTGACTGAACGTAGTCTGACAAAAAATGCTCTTACTTCAGGCAATTTATCCAAATCTTTCCAAAGAAGGACACTTCAGAAAAAAAAAAAGAGGAACAGGATAATTTTGTCTATTATTTTGTTTTGCATTGATTCAAACTAAACCTGCATCTGCTTCTTTTACAACAAAGTCGACTGAAAAATAACGATAAGAATACATGCTGTTCCAGGGGACAATCAGTTTCAGCAAAGCCTCTTTACTTGATAAAAAGAAGAGCATGTTTGTGGGGCTGTGTTTCAATTGTTTTGATTTAAACTTTCTGAGATGATAGCGTTACCAGACACAAAAGAAAAAAAAAATGTTTTCCTGGCAGAGAATTTGGCCCCAGTTGTTGGCAGCTCTTTGCTATATGCTGTTGTTTGGTTTAAAGAGTGAGATGTACAGGAATTGTGGACTCTCTTACACATATGGGATCTCTTGCCAAAGCTCTGAATGTGCTTTTGTGGCTTTCTTCTGTAGAACACAGCTGTGTCAGAGCACTGAACTTGAGGAAATGGAGGCCCAGGGAATTAAGACACTGCTTTACACCACCTCTGTGCGCTTTCTATTCCCGTTCACTGAAACACTTAGGAAAGCAGCAGCCGCTGACTTGATCAGGGTCATACAGGAATCCTGTATCAGATTCAGAAAATGAGCTGCAGATTTTGAGGAGCCACCCAGGACCTTATCTGCTAGCTGTACTCACTGTGTTCCCCTGGGCAAAGCTTTCTGCTGTTCTGGAGGATCTGTTTATCATAACAAATGTATTTTATACTCTTCATTCAGCCTACTGTATGGTAGTTCCTTCTGAGGACAAGTGAACATGGATTTATCTTTGCTAGTGTTCTTTGAGCATTTACGTAGGCATTTATGCTTCTGTTACCAGACCGATATCTCTGTCTTGGAAAGTGTTGACATAAAAGTTATGGAATTAATTAGGTAAATATCAATCCTTTGCCTAGTTTTTCTAATCTGTTTCCAGCTCTACAAACGGAAAGTTGTTGTGTTTGCCAGAAAACTTGGGCAAAATTGTAGGTGAAAGGAAGTTCCCCGCCTGCCCCCCCCAATGAAACAAAAAAGTCAGTAAAAAATCAACTTGATAAAGGAAAGTGACTTAGATTTCCTCCAAGCCTTATTTTATTTCGCTTTTCTGTTTTCATTTCAGAGTAATTCCATTAATTTCAGTAGAATTACTCTGATACATTACTGCAGTAACATCTGGAGATTCATGAGGTACCTCAGTAGTCACCAAAAATTTTTATAGAAATTGCAGACAATCATGTAGATACTTTACTGTTGTCCTCTAATACTGTGCAATACAATGTGTTGGCAGGTGCTGTAAATGATATGGCATCCAACCCTGGTTATTACACTGAGTTGGTGGAAAAGTCCTTAGGAACGTGCACTTTAGCTACTGATGAAATTGAACGAGATTTACGTCGCTCCTTACCTGAGCATCCTGCTTTTCAAAGTGACACAGGAATTTCTGCACTCAGGAGAGTTCTTACAGCTTATGCATACAGGAATCCCCAGATTGGATATTGTCAGGTACAGCAGTTTTGAGACTCTTAGTGTTGGTTGTCTAAATATTAGCTTATGATGGCACCTCATAAAATCAATCACGTAAGTATGTAATGGTTTCTTGCTCAGTGGTTCACTTACTTTGCTTATGTCATCCCACTATGTTACATGAGTTTTTACATTGTACTTGAATTTGTTGATAAATGTTGTCATGTCCACTTCATATATGCCTTTGCATTCTTACTAGACTTTTAGCACTTAAATATATTTTTATGAGTTTAAATACTATGCTCTGTATTTAATAATATAGAGGTAAAAGTCTTATACTGGGTATGGCTGTAGGTTATCCTAGCACTCTAGAAATGTGCTGTAAAGTGCTTTCAGAAATATAAATTTTAACAAATGACAACAGTTGTGTTTTCACCATCTTTCCTCGTAAATGCTTCCTTTCCTGTTTAAATGTTACAGGCAATGAATATTTTGACATCAGTACTTCTGCTCTATGCTAAAGAGGAGGAAGCATTCTGGCTTTTGGTTGCTGTGTGTGAAAGGATGCTACCCGATTATTTCAATCGTCGAATCATTGGTAACATCCATCTGTCTCTTTATCTGTCTAGAATTGAATATAAATGATCATTCATTAAGAACAAATGTAAGGAATGAGCTGAATGCTAAACAGTGGAGAGAAACTGTTGCATTTGGTTCAGTATTGTGAAGCAGAAAATGGAAGTTACAGAGAACATCCCAAGACTCCTCCTTAAGCAGGAGTGGATATGATTTTCAAATATTGTCATTATTCTAGGCATAACTACTCAGGAAGTAGTCAATTAGACTATTATACTGTTCTTTTGGAATTATAACTGCAATTCATACTATCTATTTGAAATATAGTCAGGTTAAATAAAGGAAGAAGTTACTCCAGGTACAGACTTACTCTTTGATCTCATACTCAGTACTTGCAGGTGTATATGCTAGAAGAAAATTGGACATGAAGTTTCTCTCTAACTGTAGAGAGCATGTATTGGCTGTCAGGAGAATCACTGGAAGTAGCCACATACCCACAAAAGTGCTAACACTCTTTACAGCATGCAGCAAGGCTCTGGACCCCTGCACAGAGTGCATAGCTTCCAGCATAGGGAACGAAGCCAGTGGTTCCATGCAGCTAGGCCTGTGTTTGCTTTTACAACAAAGTTGCATTAGGAAAGGGGCTTGATTTCTGGCCGGTGCTCTGAGAAAAGTATGCTTCTCTGTATTAAGACTTGGGTGGTGGTTTTGTTATCCTTTCCCTGCAGGTGCCTTGGTAGATCAGGCAGTGTTTGAGGAGCTCATCAGGGTTCATCTGCCTCAGTTGACAGACCACATGACGGACATGACTTTTTTCTCCTCGGTCTCTCTCTCCTGGTTCCTTACCCTTTTTATCAGTGTGCTGCCTATTGAAAGTGCAGTCAATGTGGTGGACTGTTTCTTCTATGATGGAATAAAGGCAATCTTGCAGCTGGGTCTTGCAGTGCTGGAATACAACATGGAGAAGTTGCTGACTTGTAAGGATGATGCAGAAGCAGTCACTGTACTCAACAGGTATCAGTGTAACTTTTATTCTTATGGGCTGCATAGGAGCTGTTATAATTTCCAAATAGATAAGTCATTCTGGGGCAGCTGAGAAGACATCTGGCTAAGACTTCCAAAGGCTTCAAGGGAATTAAGTGTTCATATTGGGCCAAAATTCTGGAAGGGGTGGCAGGAAAACGTGCCTGGATCCTCTGAAAATCCCATCCTCCATTAAAGTTCTTCTAAAACCATTGCCATTTTGTGTATTTTAAAGTAAAAGCAGTGTGTTTTGCCTGGAATTTATGTTACTTACAGAAGGTGGCTTTCCTTAATGATGAGGTAATCTAGAGCGCGCTAAGACTGTTCCAAACAGTTTGGGCATCAACTTACCGACAACGCATTCTACAGCTCAGTTCTTGTAGTTTACACTACTGGCTCCTCTGCTGCTAATGGCTTAAAATAGAAATAAGACAAAAAAATTACCATGAGGACAATCATGACCAGATGTTTGTTCTATATTAGCATTTGAAGAATAAACTCAAATATGCAACATAAAGTGCATTTTAAACTGATGAATTGCAAGCAAAACTTGCACAGTTTTTGCTTCACTGCCTACCTAAATTCTGTTGTTTCTGCTGTGATTGTGTATTGTGGAGTATTAAAACAGCAAAATGACTTTACTATAGGAATCACGAAGTTACGACTGTTAAGAACTGATAATAAGAATTTTCTTTTAGTGAGACTTTTAAATGTTGCATGTTTGAATAGGGTAGGAGCTACAGAATTAATGAGGAAAATGTAATTTTTATTATAAGAGACCATGCAGCCTGGTATTTATTGTAAAATCTAGCTGTACTCATTTAAATGTTTAACACTTAAAAAAACTAACAGTAAGACCACATTCACCCAGTTTAAATGTACTACAATTTAAAATCTAGAAGTGTGGTGGTATTTTAATTTCTACTTGAACCAAACAAGCTGCTGTTTCCACTTGACACCCAAGATTTTGATGATTATTATGAACTCTTTTTGAACTCTTGCTTTCAACATTTTATCTGGCTGAAACACTTCTGTTGCACAGTTACTCCAGCCTGCAGCATGCTGGTATATTTAAAAAATGATTACAGTAGTTGGCCTCTCCTCAAGAAAAAGGAAGCTATCAGTCCGTAGATACGTGTTCCTTGATGTTGGCAAAGGAATTGGCCAGCCTCCATAATGGATCTGTTTAGGCTGGTTATGTAGGTATGATGAATAGGTGCAGATCAGGCATGTCTTGGTTTATGCATCTGAGGGAATTAAGATTGCCTTGGTCACAGTTCAGGACAAGCCTCTTTTCCTCCCTCCCAGTTATGTAGTACAACCTCGCTAGATGGATTAGAGAACCAGGGGAATGTCGAGGGGAACGCCGAGTGGAAGGGACCTTGGCAAGTCTCTAGTCTAACTTCCCAGTCAAAAGAGGATTACCGCTAGCACTAGATGACATCAGCCCTGTTATTGTCTAGCTGGGTCTTAAAGAGTCCAAGGCTCTACAACCTTCTCTGGATAGCCAGTTCCCATGTTTGTGTATCTTTGTTACTATTACAACATATTTGTGCTACTCATGCTGATATTCTTTGCTATTCCCCATTCTCTGCACACTTTTTCTTCAGTAGATGCTGATGTTATTGTTTGGTTGTGTT